AATAACTTTAACTCATGCTAGTAGTACAATTGCTCTCTGATCTTACAAGACCTGTTTTAGTAAAGAACTGAGATTATAATTTTGAATAGTGTTTCAAACTATGGTAAAATATACATACTACAAAATGTACTCTATTGACCACTTTTAGATGGTACTCACATGGCTGTACACCCATCTCTAGAAATGTTCATACTACAAAACTGAACCTCCATTCCTTCTAAACACTTTCATTCCCTACTTTCCTGTCTCTTGGCACCAGCCCTCCCTCTTCTTTCTCTGTCCTTTGAACATCCTGTGTACCTTTTACCAGTGAAATCATGCAGTATTAGTCTTTGTGGATTGGCTTTTTTCAGTTAGCATATTGTCCTCAAAGTTCATCACACTGTAGAATAAATTTCACTTATTTCTAAGGCAAGAATACTCCCATACTCCATGGTCCATTATGACATATTTTTCTTATCAGTTCATCTGTTGATGGGTACTTATGTTGAATTCATGTTTGAATTGTTGTGACAATGTTATTATGCTATAGGCTGTGTGTTCAAATGTCTCTTCAAGATCATACCTTCAATTCTTATGGGCATATCTTTAAGTGACATTATAAATCACAGGTAATTACATTTTCAATTTTTAAGAACCTTCTTATAGTCTATATTCCTTTAAGCTGTACAAGTGTTCCTACATTGTAACCAATGTATTATTTTATTATTGTTTTATGTTGTTTTAAATAGTTCCACTCACTCCTGTTTTGAAACCAAATGTAACACTCTGTGTTTACATTGACCATCAGTTTAAATACTCGAAGGACTTAACATTCTTTTGCATCCAATGCAATAACTGCACTGCATCCAGATGCCAACCCCAATTGGCAGCATGCTCTAAGTCTAAGACAATAGAGTGGGAAACTGGTCCTCCTGCCTCCTCAAGCCATAAGTGATTGCTAGCAACTAATTCAGTCTCTAAAAGGTCAAGACACAGTCCATAGGTAGAGGTAGCCACGGTCTTCTTGGACGGTTTCCTTGTGGAAATGAGTTAGCTACTTTCAGGAAACATAGCTATCTTTGCTTACTGTTTTCACCTCTTTTTCTAGTGAGATTTCTTTGCTCTTTGATTTGGCAGAGCAGTGAGAAATTAGAATATTAGTGCCAACTAGACTAAACAAGTGAATTGTGGTTGACAGGGACTTAATCTCTCTCCTCTGCTCAAACCCTAGTACTCTAAGCTTCACTCTAGTCCTTTTTGCAATCTGTCATTTCCCAGAATTACCTCACCAATGCCAAAGCATCCACAGTCAGTTAGGATGTGCTAATGGCTTCTCTTGCTTTTTTGTTTCTTGTTCTTTTGGGTTTTTTTTTTTTTGTTTATTTGTTTGTTTGTTTTGAGACAGAATGTAGCTCTAGCCAGCCTGGAATTCACTGTGTAGACAGGGCTGTCTCTGCTTCTTAAGTGTTGGCATGAGCTATTGTGCTGGTCTCAGGTTGTTTTATTTTTTCTATAATTTTTATGTGTTTCAAAGTCACAGGTGAGCTACACTCACTCGGAAGCTTTACTAGGATCTCAATATTTGCCTTTTCAAAATATAGTTAATTGTGTGCACTCATATAAACATTCTCCTCTTCTCCTCCTCTCCCTCTCTCTCCCTCTTCTGCCTCTCCCTCATTCTCTCTCTAAGGGTCCACAATTGAACTTTGAAGTTAGGAAGACTACTGACCATATGCACATCTCCGGGAAGATAACCTGTCTAAGCTTTCGTTTTTATCTTCTCTGGAGTTGGGAGGACTGTCACCTCATGGAGCTACTAACAGGCTTAGAACAACAATGCTTTTCATCTCTGGTCAAAAGAAATGTTTCTGATATATGCTAGCTTTCTGTTTTTGTTGTCATCATTGTATGTATACACAATACTCCAGCTTTTTTGCCAACGTAGGCTCATACCTAGCACTTGAACACCAATGCCATTAGCCTTGGTGTCATCCCAAGACCTTCCTTTTTTGGTCTTCGAAGGGCATCACTCAGGCCCTTCTCTCCTGTGTCTCTTCAATGTGGCTCCTTCCTTCTTCATAGTCACATATTTATGACTACAGAATTAGTACAACAATCAAATAGCTGTATGCAGCACATCCTGCCTGTAAAATTTCATCTACATTACGTAAAGAGAAAATATCTTTGTTAATAATGTATTTATTCATTAAAATAAATGTGTATCTCCACCCCCCAGCATAAGCCAGATACAGTCGGATTCACCTTATATTTAAAGCTACTTCACCTTGCTTTAAGGCTTTTATGAGGAAACCTGAACTTATATCCCTTGCTGATCTCATGATAAATACTATAGGCTTTACCATAGTCAAACTCATGCTAGCAATAGGGTATTAAACAACACACAAAATTCCTAAAATTCTAGCTAGCTACAGGCCACAAGTTCCCCTGATCCATACCTTTTCCCTCAGACACTCAGCTCAAGGCTTGTTTCAAAGTCAGGTCCTTGCATAATGGCGTACTTGCTCACACACTCGTTCCCTGTCTACTAATGATGAGCCTGTCTGTTGCTACTTACACAGACTCTTGGTATTGCCTTGGTTGACTTCCATGTGCCTCCCTCAAGAAGAGTCAGGTATGCACTGTGTGATGTACGTTTTTGTTTTCCTGTTGTTATACGTGTGTTCTGATGGTGTAGCTGTGCATAAAGGCACACAGCTTAGCCACTCACACAGCAGAGACATCATCTCATTGAACAGGTAATTGATTAGCTAGTTAGTTAGTTTGTTTGCTAAAAATGTAATCCTAAGACAATCAACTTTCTTGTCAAAGCTCCATAGTACACAGTCAGTCTATTTCAAGCTTTAAAAATGCCGCATGTCCAAGTACACCACAAAATGGGAACTAGTGGTAGTTACGATAAAATATGAAACAATGCAAGTGCATCTGAAAACACAGAAGTGCATAGCAACTGTCAAGTTGCCTAATATTGTAAGAATCACATATTTGTCAGGTTTTTTGCATCTAATATTTTCCATTTTTACTTTGCTTATATACTGGATGTTTTTGCTAAACACTTTGCATAGGTAAGTTGTCATCTGGCTACACTGCAGTGACCATGGTTAGCTATTGGTAGATGCTTCTCTGGGACCTGAAACCAAGCCTGTCTTAACTTTGTGAAAGATAACTGTAGCTGGATTAGCCAAGAAAGTGACCTCCCTGCTTGAAAGCTAGTGACCCCATGACTATGCTTTGAAATAAACCCGGGCTGACTGTGGTTCCTGGCTTTTCCTTTCTCACCCTGATTCCACACACCAGCTTAATAAACTCTGTTCCATAGGAGAGATAAAACACAAGTGATTAGCTTGTCTCCATCATAACCAGTAAGATGTGTGCACATCAGTGAAGGCAGAGCATCTAAATGCAGAGGTTTCCAGAGCAAGAATGGCCCAGTTGGAAATATTGCCATACAGGCTTCTAACTCCTCCTCATTCCCCGGTGACATAATTTTGGCTTCAGAGATTTGGGGAAAAAATTTCAACAACAAAATAACCCCTTTTATTTCAACTACAGTAAAGCTGTATGGTTTGAGAAACATCAGCATCAGGGTGTGGTCGGGGTGGGCACTGTCCCCCTGTGAGGTTCTGTCTTCATGTTTTAATGTGAAACTGGTCGTACATGTGAGGGCTATAATCTTTCTCCTCTTCTCCACAGACACAAGCCCTCCTGGCGTGTGTTGTTTGCTTACGTTAAGCCTTGGTTAATTGCCCGGGATGTTTCTGAGGCGTCATCCTCAGTTTTCCCCTCGGCTCCGCCATCTCATATATTGTTCTTATCTCCACAAGATTTGTACAAGTTGTTTAAAAACCATGATCTCTGAGGCTGGAAAAAAATGAAGTGCACTTGAAATGACAGTTATGCTGAAAGATAAGCAGAGCAATACAACTTATCAAAATGGGTACAATTTTTCTTAGTTAATGAGTACAATATACAACATTCCAGTACGTACACAAGGGGGTGCTTTATAAAATATCAAGAACACCACATGCTTGCAGACGTAACTGTGTGGGGTTTGTATCTAGGCCTGAGAGTGGAGATAACAAAATATAAGTGCTTTGCCTGTCTAAACATGTGAAATAAATGGGTGTTCACTATCACATTCCAATACATTAGAAGATCTTCTTGCATAGTTAATTTTTCTTTCTAATGCACTGCACGTGATCATTTGAAATGCAGAGCCAGGGTGTATCTCAGTGTTTGAAGACAAGGTTTCTTTCATTTAAACAAATCTTTATTGAAATAAGCCTTTTTGAAAAGAATCTTTGGTGTATCCCTTTTTGCAGGAAGTTCAAGCTGGGTAAATGGAGATAAAGAAGGGACGTTGCAGGGTAGTGTATAATGAGATTGTCCAGTCAAAGTAAAAAGTACATAAACGGCAGTATCCTTAGAAAGGGTCAGATTCCCTGTGACAGCACTTTAACGCCCAAGATTTTACAAACTTCTGTTTGCTTGTCTGGCAATTTGGGGCATTTATACTCACAGTAAAATATAACTAGTAAAGTGGAAACAAAGACGGAGGGACAGTGGGAGAAAGTGCAATGTGGAAGGTGGGAGACTGTTCTTTTGTTAGTTAACGAAATACTAACCTCAAAAGCAGCCCAGGCTACACAGTGAGTATGTCCCTCCAAAGGAGGTTTTCAGGCACAATACCAGTGTCATAATGGGTTAGTGATTCAGGCGAGAGCCTGGAAGGCAGACCTTGACAAACTCCATTCTATCTATATTCTCCCTAGTTTTCTCCTATTGCTAGTTACTGACAACATGGCTTGATACCAGGAGAACATTTGTCCACAGAGCCTGCCTGAGATACAGGGCTGAGGGCTGATCAAACTCCTTTTCCAGACCAGACCCATTTGAACAGCACAACGGGAAAACATTCCTGCTGTCAGTCTAGCATGCAGTGGGCTCATGCGTCCCATGTCAACTCTCTCTCTCTCTTCTTGTTTCTCTCTTCTCAATAGGGGGTCAGCTTTGGTGTACCACTACGAAGATCATCTCAGAGGGTGAAGAGCTAATTGCCTTTGTGGTGGATTTTGACTCAAGGCTACAAGCTGCCAGTCAGATGACTCTCACAGAAGGGATGTACCCAGCTCGCCTGCTGGACTCAATTCAGCTGCTTCCTCAGCAAGCTGCCATGGCTTCTATTTTGCCTACAGCTATTGTCAATAGTAAGTGCTGAGTGCTTTGTGGGGGTGATGGGTATTTATGTGAGAAATAAAAATACCTACTGACAGGCGGTGTGTGGTTGTGTGTGTGTGTGTGTGTGTGTGTGTGTGTGTGTGTGTGTGGTGTGGTGTGTTTGCTTAACATGCGAATGCAGAAAAAACATCCAGTTAAGTCAGATTGTATTCCTAAATGTCACCATACTAACAACTGTATTCTCTACTTACTGAATAATACTCAACTTCACTTATCAATGACGACCTAATGGCTTTCAATGATGATTTTCCAGCGTCAAAATTGGTATTTGATAAAGGCCATGGAATTTTTAAAAACTTTAAAAAAGAATATAAAATTAAAAATCAAATTTTATTATATACGCGAATGATATAGTATATACAGTCTTATGTTTGTATGAAGCTTTGAAGTATAATTATTATTATTTTATTTAAAAGTAAAAAGATTAACCAGTACAAATACATAGAGCTTTTGCTTTTAGCCTTATAATCTGGATGAAGTCTTGGCAGCCTTGACAAATCAAAATATTTGTTAATTAAAAGGAAGAAAGGGGACAATAAAGAGTATATAAGCTTTTAATACTCCATAGAGAATTTCAAAATATGCTGTGGCAAACCTAGCTGATGGTCTTACACTGCTAAGATGAATACCGATGTAGTTTGCATACCTTGAACATAGAAAGTGGTACTTCATATGGTGGACAGTCAATGGGCCAAAGGCCCCAGAAAGATCTGTTTTTATTTAGCCCTCTGTGTGAAACAAAAATGAGTAGCAGCCACACTCTAAGAGTTATACTAATGATGGTATTAAAAAATGCATCTAATCTTAAAATAACATTGAAGATCTTTGAGACTAATGCAGAAGATATCTATTCAGCAATAATATCTTCAGCTTATTATAAAAATATTCAACCATATTTAGGACTAAAGATGTCCACAGGTGATTCTGAAATCACTGTGCATAGAATCAATAGGCCAAGGGCTTGCAACCTAAGCAGTCCTTACTTGATTTAGTTAATGGAATGGTTTTTATTTTCTTTCCTTGATTCTTATTGCATGGACCATGACATCACACTTGTGATGTGATATGAGGCAAAGTAATTTTATTATAAGGGATTTCAAATAACCTTATTCAGTTACGATGCTCCGATGTGTAACATTAATTCTAATTGCACATGAGAATACACCTGATCGCTTTTGGTAGAAAGAAAATGATTAATCTCAAATGACCCAATATAAGCACCATTTGCATCCTGAAATCAATCAGTTGACATGACTGTTGAACTACACACTTTAATAAAATATGCAGGCTCTTGGATAGTGTAAGTGTACTTAACCTCGGAAGAATGTGTTAAATAATAAATAGTCATCAGAATATAATTTTGAAGCTGCCTCCCATCCACGAGAACTTGATCCTTAGTTTTTTCTCATTTTTGATTTATCTCCTTTGCTTCACTGTCAGCTAATGATGAGTCTCACTCTTTCTGAAGAGTTTTAGAACTCTCTTAACACTCCCTTGCAGGTCTCTCTGTGTTTCCTTCGGAAATACCAAATTCCATATGACCAATGTTCTCTTGGGAACATTCAAAGCCCCATGACTATACAATGTGGGTCCAGGCAGGATCGCCTCATACTGCCTCAACCTGCAAAGTACTGTCTGTCTCATCTACTCATTTCTGCTTCTCTCATGTTAACTCTCCTCTCTGTCACTTTGTCATCCAGACAGTAAGGAAGTAGATTTAAGACTAGGTTCCAATTTCAATGTAACCCTTTACATCAATGATTCTCAACTTGTGGGTTGCAACCTCTTTGGCAAACCTCTATTTCCAAAAATATAAACATTATGATTCATAACAGTAGCAAAATTATAGTTATGAAGTAGCAACAAAAATAATTTTATGACTGGGAGTCACCACAACCTGAGTAACTGTCTTAAAGGGCTATAGCCTTAGCTAGGTTGAAAAAGAATCACTGCTTTACATGGTTATACAAGGTAGTCAACTGTGGTGGCCCCAACTGTAACTATATGAGGAGGAAAAAAATACATTTGAGGAAATTTTCTGTGAGTGAAGTCTTGGAAATCATACATCACAGCTATGACTCAATTCAAGCCTTCTTTTATTTCACTTAATGTGTGGAGCCTGCCTCCGGCCCCTCAATGACTCTTCTACCTTTACGACCTTCAAAACTAGAATCTCCTCAATCATTGACAAAGTGAGAGCCTGTCAGGAGAGTCTGCAGGGTCCTCTCTAGCCTATCCTGCCCTTTGCCTCAACAGTGCCACACAGCTCGCTGCGCAGCCTCCGCCTGGGCCTCTCAGGGTCCTGTGGCTTCCTCTGTGCTGTTGCTCTGAGCAAGAAGACAAGAAATTGCTTTCTCTGCCTAAAAATACGTTCAGTTCATCCTTCACATCATTTCTAAGTTCTGACATTATCGGCACTCTAACCTTACCTACCTGCCAGGCCCTCCCTCCATCACAATCCCGGAAGCCTAGTGGATACCCACTGTCTCTGCCCTATGACTTTCAGTTTCCTGTGCCAGAGAGTGTACAGGCACTGTCTAACCACTATCAATCCAGAATAAAAGCTTCTCATCCCTAGGAAATCCACCCTCCTGTGTTACACCAGACCCAACACAGAGTTTAGCATCTTGCAGGCCCTCAGTACTTAATTCATTTAATCAACAAATGCGGTCAGTAATGGGCATCCAGGGCATCTTCATCTGTGCACCACAATCTTACTTTTTAACCAACCAGACAAACCAATTCCCATTGCTATTACAAATGCATGTTTTTCTAAATCATAAGTAAAAAAAGAAAGAAATTATTTTGTATTTTTAATACCCACATCTCTCCTGCAGTATTAGTCTCTAAACAGGCTGTAAGTTAACTTACAGAGTGTAATATTTCCTTAAGAGTCTCCTCCTGAGCCCAGATCATACTCATCAATGCTTAATTACCCAACTCAGAACCTGAGAGCCAACTCAGAAAGATGAAAGTAAATGTGACCTTTCCCTTATTTCTGTCCCCAACATAGCAGCTAATATGTCTCTGGTTTTTCTGCAGAGGACATATTTCCTTGTAAGTCCTGCGGCATCTGGTACCGGAGCGAGCGGAACCTGCAAGCCCATTTGATGTACTACTGTAGTGGGAGGCAAAGAGAAGCTGCTCCAGTGTCCGAAGAAAATGAAGACAACACTCATCAGATTTCCAGTCTGTGCCCCTTCCCACAGTGCACCAAGAGCTTTTCCAATGCTCGAGCTCTTGAAATGCACCTGAACTCACACAGTGGTAAGCACGTCAAAAGTTTCTGCACTTCCTTGGGAGTACAGTCTGCCCTTTCTACACATGCAATATACACAAAGGCATAACACCTCTTATCTATAATATATTCACATAGATAGATAGATAGATAGATAGATAGATAGATAGATAGATAGATAGGCAGATTAATTTTACTGCACCAAGCAGTGTTCTAGTATATTATTTAGATGTAGCATATTTTAATCAAAGGACTTGACTGATTTCTTCAGCATGTACTACAGTGCTTAGAGTGTGGGCCAAATCAGCACATCCATTTTCTGCTTTATCAAAATAATATTTTCTCTGTTTAATGCCATGAATATTCACTGCTTTAATGTCAAGGGATCTTTGGAAACTGATCGTGGAACTCTCCATGTGTTAAAAAAAATAGTAGGTACATTAAAAAGGGAGCAACTGCACAAAATTAAAGCTGCTATTCTGCTAGTTTCAATTAAAAATCCCTCAGTTTCCACAGTATGCACGGTTAAAGCTTAATTGACTTTGATGACATGAAACTACTCTAAATTCCCTAAGAAAAACAAAAAAAGATTGAAGTTATTCTCACTTATATTTGAAATGGACCTCAGCTAATGTAAGCTTGATCTCACGGCAGCCTACTTCTTACTATTTTCAAAATGGACAGAATTACATTAAATTTAAACATTTTTAGGTATTTTTCTAAGTTTATTTTATTTTATCTGAGGCAGGGCTTTTCTCCATAGCCCTGGCTGTCCTGGTACTCATTATGTAGACCAGGCTGGTGTCAAATTCACAGTATAGAGAAGACAATCCAAATCTGTTCCCATTATGCACAAACAAACACAAGCAGGAGTTGGTCTCCATGATACTTACCTCCACAATCAGTGGCACTGATCATAAACAGGTGGTAAGTCAACCAAAATGAGTGCTGGCCTGCAATACCTTTATCAGCATGCCAGTGATTACCAGACCAATAGCAGTTCTAGATACAGATAAAACATTCAGTTAAACGAACATACATATCTATCTATCTATCTATCTATCTATCTATCTATCTATCTATCTATCTACATATGTGTAAATATATATACATATATGTATACCTATATATACATACATATATATAAATGATATATGTGATAAAAGATGAGTGAAGTGATTGCTAGAGCCCCGTAGTTTCTTCTTGCATGTAGGTATTCAGTAGCTAGAAGCCATTCTAATTAATATTCACTTCTTCCTATTATAGAGCATAGTACTCAAAATGTTTAAAAATTACAAGCCTAAGCCTTAGGCATAACTCCATGCCTCCACAGTATGATTATTATAATTAATTCTCTTAGGATTTAAGTTTGGTTTTTTTTTGACCCATAAAATAGAACCGCTAATAGTTCTCCCCATCTATACCCTAACACTCAGAAAGAGGCTTAGAACATTATTATTTCAGATGGTCACTAAATGTTAGTATCCTGGACGAGGATCTGATGGGTTTGTTTCTGTTGTGAAGACACAAGCTCACTGGTGAAGGTTCCCATCTCCGCTTTCCTGTTTTGTGTGTCTTGGCAGGAGTGAAAATGGAGGAGTTCCTGCCCCCGGGGGCAAGTTTAAAGTGCACTGTGTGCAGCTACAGTGCTGACTCTGTGGTCGGCTTCCACCAGCACCTCTTCTCCCACCTCACTCAAGCTGCCTTCAGATGCAACCACTGCCATTTCGGCTTCCAGACCCAGCGGGAGTTACTGCAGCACCAGGACCTCCACGTGCCCGTGCCTGGCGGCAAGCTTCCCAGAGAAAGTGAGATGGAGCACTCACCCAGTGGAACCGAAGACGGCTTACAGCCAGCCACGGACCTGTTGGCCCGAAGTGACCTCTCCCAGAGCCAAAAGGCCATGCAGACGAAAGATGCAAGCTCAGACACGGAACTGGACAAGTGTGAGAAAAAGACACAGCTCTTTCTCACAGGTCAGAGAGCGGAGATTCAGCCTGCAGCAAACAAGCAAAGCTTCTCCTACACAAAAATAAAGTCTGAGCCCTCCAGCCCAAGACTTGCCTCATCGCCAGTACAACCCAACATCGGGCCCTCTTTTCCTGTGGGACCTTTCCTCTCTCAGTTTGCCTTCCCGCAAGATATCACGATGGTCCCCCAGGCTTCAGAGATCTTAGCCAAGATGTCGGAGCTGGTGCACCGCAGACTGAGGCACGGGAGCAGCAGTTACCCTCCCGTAATTTACAGCCCTTTGATGCCCAAAGGGGCGACGTGCTTCGAGTGTAACATAACATTCAATAATCTGGATAACTATCTCGTCCATAAAAAGCACTACTGCAGCAGCCGATGGCAGCAGATGGCCAAATCCCCTGAGTTCGCAAGTGTTTCCGAAAAGATCCCTGAAGCTGTGAGTCCCAACACTGGCCAGACGTCCATCAGCCTTCTCAACCCCGCCTCTCATTCTTCAGACCCAGAGAACCCCCTTCTTCAAACACCCTGCATCAACTCTTCCACTGTTTTAGAGTTGATTGGGCCGAATGGGAAAGGCCAGGAGAAGGACTTTTCCACTCAAGCCAAAAAGCTGTCCACCTCCAGCAGCAACGATGACAAAATGAACGGAAAGCCCGTGGATGTGAAAACACCCAGCGGCCCCTTGGTGGATGGCGAAAGTGACCCAAATAAGACGACCTGCGAAGCATGTAACATCACCTTCAGCAGGCACGAAACGTACATGGTCCACAAACAGTATTACTGTGCAACGCGTCACGACCCTCCGCTGAAGAGGTCTGCTTCCAGCAAAGTGCCAGCCATGCAGAGAACCATGCGCACGCGCAAGCGGAGGAAGATGTACGAGATCCTGCCTGAGCAGGATCAGAGGCCGCCCCTGGTCCCACAGAGGTTCCTTGATGTCGCCCACCTCAGCAACCCATGTAGCTCCGCTCAGGAGCCCGCTGAAGGGCCGGGAGAATGCTACCACCCGAGATGCGACATCTTCCCGGGAATCGTCTCAAAGCACTTGGAAACATCGTTGGCCATGAACAAATGTGCGCCAGTCCCCAAATGTGACACGACCCACCCCAGCGTTTCCTGCCTGGAGATGGACGCTCCCATCGATCTCAGCAAAAAGTGTTTATCGCAGTCTGAGCGGACCACAGCCTCTCCTAAAAGGCTGCTAGACTACCACGAGTGCACGGTGTGCAAGCTCAGCTTCAACAAGGTGGAGAACTACCTGGCCCACAAGCAGAATTTCTGTCCTGTCACTGCACACCAGCGCAGTGATCTCGGGCAGCTGGACGGCAAAGTCTTTCCCAATCCAGAGAGCGAGCGGAGCAGCCCAGACGTCAGCTTTGAGAGGAACGTGGTCAAGTGTGAGAAGAACGGCCATCCAAAGCAGCCCTCTCCCAACGGAAACGTGTTTTCATCCCATTTAGCAACTTTGCAAGGCCTGAAAGTCTTCAGCGAAGCCGCTCAGCTCATTGCTACAAAAGAAGAAAACAAACATTTGTTTCTCCCCCAATGCCTTTACCCCGGAGCAATAAAGAAGACGAAAGGAGCCGACCAACTCTCTCCATACTACGGCATAAAACCAAGCGATTATGTCTCTGGTTCCCTCGTCATCCACAACACCGACGTCGAACAAAGCACAAATGCAGAAAACGAATCTCCTAAAGGCCAGGCCTCCTCAAACGGGTGTGCCGTGCCCAAGAAAGATTCTCTGCCACTGTTGCCCAAAAACAGAGGCATGGTCATAGTGAATGGTGGACTGAAGCAAGATGAGAGACCTACAGCCAACCCACAGCAAGAGAACATTTCCCAGAATGCCCAACACGAAGATGGCCACAAGTCGCCTTCGTGGATCTCGGAGAACCCGTTAGCTGCAAATGAGAATGTCTCCCCGGGACCTCCCTCCGCGGAAGAACAGTTGTCTAGCATAGCAAAAGGTGTGAACGGCTCCACCCAGGCCCCCAGCAGTGGGAAATACTGCCGGCTATGCGATATCCAGTTCAATAACCTTTCAAACTTTATAACTCACAAGAAGTTTTATTGCTCATCACACGCAGCAGAACATGTCAAATGAACTGAGTTAAAAAAAAAAAAAAGAAAGAAAGCAGTCACCTTTGGTACCAGTGTTTAGTATGTTCTTCTAAACAGTCCAGAAAACAAAGAAGAAGCTGTTTGAATTACATCTGGCAATCAGGAGATAATTCATTATGACTGAGTTGAAGACTTAAGATGTAATTTCATTACAGACCATTAGTAAAGTGTATTATTGGTGCCATTTTCAAAAAAATTAATTTATTTTACCAGCAGTATTCATAGCTGTGGTTATGTTATTTTTATTTAAAAACTTTATATTAAAGTCATTTGTAATGTTATTGTATAGTTATTGTGTAGCACATATGGTTTGCACTGTATAGTAGCTTTTAAAGAAAATAGTCACGAACAATACAGAAAAGCATTTTAGAAATAGCTTCAAAAGCACTTGTGTATCCTGATTTTTTCTATATGCTGTTGCAGATATATGTGTATGCTAAAATATAACCTGCAAACATGTTCGAAATACACATGCTATGTACACGCCTTAAGATTTCAATTCTTGGATAATCAGGCTCCATTTGCACTTTATATTTTAGCAAATACAGTCTCTTAGTCACTAGGCTTTGCATTCGTATGTAGCCGTATATTTCTGTCCATTTTCTCAGATTTAAACATGTATGTTAAATGAAGATGGCAATTTTTTCTTGTATAGTACTTGTATTTTTTTTTCCCGCTGATGCAGCCCTGTCTCAATTTTTAAACCTTTGCTGTTAAATGCAATACTTTATAAAGAATGAACAAAATTACTGGAAGCAGTATTGTAAGTAATGGAGTCGTAGTAACCAGTTTTATCTTTTGAAAGGCACAGTCTAAATCGAAACCCTAAACTCAATGCTGCAAGTATGAATTTAATTCATATATAAGATCTATTTAAATATAAGCGTAGCAATACTGCACCTGGTGATCACGAAGATAATGTTCTACTTCTGATAGAAATAATTTCTCAACAAATGTTGTTACTATGCATGTACATGGATGGAATAAAATTCCAAATTGTTGGAGAAAGTTGATGTCCTGGGCTTTTATTTCCCCCTTAAGCACCAAGGAAATGTAAACAGCTCTAATTGTCACACACTAAATAGCAACACTTTATCATCAGTTACATGTTAATTTCTGTTGCCAGGTTTCTGTCAACAATGGCCAGGTTTTTCCTTCCCCCCCCCCCCCATTCAATTCAGCCATTCTCAACTACTCTCAAGGCATATCAGCCTAGAACACCTCATGTGTGGCTAACAGCAGCAGCAGTGGCAGCAACACACTGAAATTGCAGACATCCCCTTAACAGCATGTGATCTGACAGATTTTAGCATTGTGTCATGGATTTAAAACACAACACATGGATCACAGAACAATGTAAAAGAAATGACTATAAACCATCTGTCTGTTTACCACATTTACTCCAAGTATTCAACTAGTGTTTACAACCTGGCCTCGGTTTAAAAATAGTAGTCAGCATATATGTTTTGTGTAATTAAAATCGAAAGATGAATCATTGTAGGAACTGTTAAGGACATTGAATCCTCTTGTAGTGTTTCAGCAGTCCTAGGGGTTTCAGGTTTTTACCTAGCCAAAACTAACGAGGAAAAAAAAAGGCAGAAATCTGGGACTTCTTCTCAGCTCTGTGGGCATCCACGTCATACTGCAAATGCAGAGGCAAATGCAGAGGCATGTGACAGTGCTGAGTCTGGTGCCCATGTCTGCCGCTTAAAGAAAAGGCAGCCTGTAGGAAGGAAAACCTTTCAACGACATCGCCTCCTCTAGCCAGAATTTGTCTGACCATCTTTGGAAATTTCTGGGGTGTGTGGTGCCCCCAGAGACCACTGCCCTCTAAATATGACCAGCCTGCTTCCTGGGAACGCTTACTCCCATGTGCCAAGAGTGGCTTTTGCCACATGAGCAAAGCATCAGACAGCACACCCTGACATTATCTCCTCAGTGTCTATTCATGACAGGAGAAAGCAGTGGACAGAGTACCTCTCACCAGGTACTCATAATGTGGAGCTGATCTCAAGGACTGTGACCTCCCCCAGCCCCCTGGTTCTTTGTGTCTTGAGTTAATCCATGGTTCTCCCTGTGTGTTCTGACCAATAATCCCAGTGGGAAGCATTTCTCCCATCCTAACCTGGGCTCAGCTCAAGAAACTACTTCCTGACCATGAAAGTGACCACTCTAAGGAACTCCCCCTACAACCGCATTTACCCAAAGATGCCAATAAATACTAGAGCGTTATTCAGTTTGTACATCTCATCAGAGGCACTGACAGTCAATCCAATACTTTTGTACGTTAAATTCATTATCTTTAGGACAGATCGCCTTTTGCTCAGTAAAAATGTTTAGAGACATATCACAAACCCAACAGGCAAACAAATTCAAATCAGAAAATACAGGCCTGCCACATTATAGCTATAAAAAGAAACATTTCTGTAACTAAAACTGCAAAAATAAAATAACCAAGATCTGCTCATTTAATAGGTGTTTTTTTTTCCTATAAATTTATAGAGAGGTTGAAATTTGAGACAGTATTTCACATCAGGCACCCATTCAGAAAAATGTTTTTGTTTCTGTAATGTCAATAAATAGCAGTCAAATGAACAAAAAGTTGGCTTTCCTTTAACTACAGGTAGTCTTCCACATCAGCATCAAACTATATTATTAAAAGCCAAAATTCCTCAGAGTTATTTTTCTTTAGATGATATTATTCCTAGATTCCAGTTTTCAGAGAGTTGAAATAACCTCATCTTGGGTCACTTTGCTACATAATAAATCAAATTTACAAGTAATAAGTATTTTTAATTTCTGGATGTAATATGTAAATGACAGCCCCACCTCCAAATGCCATCATTCATCTTCAACATAATCTTTTAATACTAAACCTTTATAGGCTTCGTTTGGATAGGGTCAATTCTGAATGTTTCGCATTAAAACCAGATACTCATTTTTAAAATTCAGCTAAGTCCAATGGTGTTCAAATAATCCAACTTCTAATTTCATGGGTTAGTATCAGAAATTTCTGTGTACTACTCCAGCTAGATCATCATAAAATTATGTTAAGAAGAAATGAATCTCACAGAGTGAATTAAACTATAAATTAAATAAGTAGGACCTGGAAAGCATCTGGAATAACTTTAATTTGAACCTCTGTCTATCAGGTTCCCTTTCATCACTCCTGAACTTCAAAGATGTATTCTAAGTATCTGTGAATGGGTTGGGAAATGAATAATGAAAATAGAAAAGAGTTTGTGCATGCATATATAAGTGAATAAAAATGAAAGACTACATGAGTGGTTAGTTGAAGGTTAACCTGATTTAATTAAATCATTGATGGAAAAGAACGATGTGCCATATAATTTTAAAGAAATTCCTTTTAAATATGTTGAGAGACACTTGTGGAAAAATAAAACTGCATCCACATCTGAAAGCCTGGCATAAATTACTTCAAACAGGAGTTTTATGTAGGAAAATAGTCACCAAAAACTGTAGAAAGCATGGGGGGACTGACAGGGGTTGGAACCTTAAGGAAGTCACCACAAACTTGCCCTGCATACTCTGTGGAGAAACACAAGAAGAAGTGGCATTTCACTGAGACAGTGCCCTGCTTTCTGCTGAAGCCTTGACTACTGTGTCTTCCTTGGCACCATAGCTCTGCAGGAAGCTGAGGAATCCAACTCCTGCTCATAGTACAGAATCCCCCGGCGAATCATTCCCACAAGCTCGCTACAGCTACAGCCAGAGTTCAGGAAGGCTGTGATGCTGAAACTGAAGGGCCCTTCCCCTGCCTTTGGGAACGTGCCAGCTGCGTGGGCTCTGTAATTGTCCATGGCGCAGTTACAAACACACCACCCAGAGTAGAAAGCTTTCTGCCTTCCTCCTGTCCTTTAGTTTCTCGCTGGTGCCTCCCACTGTAAAACTTACAAGCTATCTGTTTCTGGGGGTCTCTGGAAACTAGCTGGAGGAGAACCTGAGTAAAACAGCAATGGCCTGGATTAATCCTGAGAACTTAGCTTGGACAGTACTGTATTCCCTTATTACAGCCTCCCTTCACCACAGCTATCTTCTCATCAAGTTTCAGAAAGAACCACTCAAACCCTTAAAATCATGGCTCTTCTGTCCTCTCCCAGACACCTGAAAACTCACATGCCAAGGACAGAGGAGGGCTCACACTGATTCTTTTGTAACAAATTGCCACATTTTTTTTTTTTTTAATTTCAAACAGAAATGTATCCTTTCACAGATTTTGAGGTGAGAAGCCTGACTTCACAGTGTGGCACATCTGTGCCTCCTCTGCAGTCCTCATGGAATGATTCCTTCTGTGGGCCTTCCAGCTCCCTTGATGCCAAACATTCCTTATCTTGTGACTGAGTTGATCCAACCTGGGTCTCCATGGGCCTCCTGTTTTGCCTGTTTGTAGGATCCTGGTGGTTGCATTTAATGCCCACAGAGATAACTGTTACAATCTTGCCATGTGACAGTCATTAATCCCAGAGGCAGAAGCGTTTCCTCTGATAGTCGAACCGCACCCCTAAATGCAGGCAAGAACTCTGAAATCATGCAGGAGAAGCACCAGTGTCCAAGACAGCAAAGCCCTTCCACACATGGGTGTGAGGGTAAGACACCGAGGAATACTTCTAGTCCATCCAAATAGTTGGGACAGGACCCGCTCCAGCAAAGGATCACTGGGCTGAAGGTACTGCCACCTACCTGAGCTGTTGCACGCCTCTCCTGTAACTTGCCCCCTAGGGCAAAGTGTACAAGTGGACATGGCATTCCTCACTCCTCTCTGTTCATTTACAGCCTTTAAGTGTCAGGTCCTGTTACTGGGACCATCATTTGATCTTCCACAGGGAGACATTGAGATACTCTAGTCAATATACAGTCTTAGATGAAGACAGAGGAAAAGAGATTCTCAACCAGGTGCTGAAAATGTGTGGCCATGCAACAGATACTAAGTTGTCCCCATGAAGGTGAAGGGCGATTGAGACATGAATGTTATTAACAAATGTCAATGGCACCTTATCAAGAATCAGGCACCTAAAGCAACTCATCCCATCTGATCACTGATGACCCAGTTGTGTGACAGAAGTGTGGTGCCAACTATGCACAAGGCAGTTCATCTACTTAGAACTTAATGAACCTTATTAATTCAGAGAATCATGAAAATCAGACACCAGCTAAGCAAAAG